GACAAACACTATGATGAAGAGACAGGACCTTGTCATGTGGGTGACAGAGAGCCACTGAATATTTGTGAGCAGTGATGTGGTCAGCTGTGGGCTCTAAAAAAGATCACCCATGTCACAGCAAAGAGGACAGATTGCAATAAAGGAGAGTTTGAAATAAAAGCTAGGTTCCTCAGGGGTCCATCATGCACCAAGTTCTACCTGGAATCATCCACTTAGGAGCTGATAGCACCAGAGAAGATAGAGAATGGATAGTCTCTTGCTGTATGCCTCTCAGATACTCAGCACAGTACTAGGACCAGGAAATGGAGTAACAAACATAATCCTGCCCCAAGGAAGCTTGCTTTGTGGTAAACAAGAAAAGCAAGTTAAACAGGTGTCCCACAGTGTATGAAGTGCGGAGCAGAAGTGTGGCAACCCATGCAGGCAAGGATTGGAAATGACCACCCTGATGGGCACAGTGTGGAGACCAGAGAAGGTCAGCACAGGTATCACAGGAACATTCTGCCCTGGATGCGGAGGGATGGGTTGACAAAGGGAACAGGCAGACAAAGGGAATATTTGCAAGTTTAAAGACATAGGGACATGTGGAAGAATATGTCGAGGGCTGTATTTAGTTCTGTCTGATTGGAGAGCAAGGTGAGTATGAGAATAGCAAGAGACGGTGATGTAGATATGGACATGGGTCAGGTCATGTGGGGCTTTGTCTGCCATCACAAGAGAGGAGAAGAGAAGGGAAAGGAAAAGAGAGGGAAGGGGAAGAGAAGAGAGGGAAAGGGAGGGAAAGGAAAGGAAAGGAAGAGGAGGGGAGGGGGGAGGCAAGAGGGGAGGGAAGGGAAGGGAAGGGAAGGGAAGGGAAGGGAAGGGAAGGGAAGGGAAAACAGAAAGAAAAGAATAAAGACAACACTCTGATTCCCAGGTTCCAAGTGTGGGAACAAGTGTGGACACACACAAGTACTTGCTCTGTGTTGTCTGGATATGTGTGAGAAATGGTGGGTGCACTAGGTTTGATGGGTTGTGCTGAGAATGGTAAGGGTTTGGGGCCAAAATTGTTGCATTTCATTTTAGACAGAATGAATTAAAAGTATTTGCAGAATATCCACATGCAGAGCTGAGTAGGCATTTGGATGTTTGGGTGTGGGCCCTCTACAAAGGTGAATGCTACAGTTATATACTTGGGAATTATTGATGCATAAATGATAGTTGGAGCTGTGGACTTTAGTACAATTGCCTAGAATTATATAGAACATGAAGAAAAAGTAGGCAGAAGGCTGGGAACCCCTGAAAATCAAGTGGGAGAGGAGAAGCCAGTGAAGGAGACTAAGTGAGTGAGTAAGAGGGAGGAGGGGAAGCAGGCCAAGGCAGTGTCTCAGGAACCAGGTAAAGAAACCAAAAATAAGCATAAGCTTAAACATGTAATTGGTATTTAATAACTGGTTGCCTGGAAATGGAAAGGTAATAAAGGCATTTCATTGGCATAGCAGATTCCTTTCTTAAATAAATCTGAAGCATACTTATTTTTCCACAAGTGCACACCCTTTAATACGTGAGTATAGAGCAGTCTGGCAAAATAACAACGGAGCTCACAGTGTAAACAGTGTCTTTGTTGTTGAGTGGAACTTCTCTCTCTTCTCTCCAGGGATAAGTGAATTCCCTTGAATTTCTGCCCATCAGTCAAATTTTACATTCAATTGAGTGTTCATTCCAAGTTTTTAAAATGATTCTGTGACTGAATGCTTAGAAAGTTGTGCTTTGGTAAATTGAAAATAATTTTTCTAAAGTGATGTGCTAATTTGAAATCTATATTGTTTTTCTTGGTTTGATTTTTTGCAGCCAAAATTGTAAGACATACTTCTCTGGTTGTGCTGTTCCACAGATGAAGAGCCCTGCTCCCCTGGGGACCCTGGGGAATGGAGTGCCTCTAAAACCATCCGTGACATTATGGGGCAGAGGCTGGTACCCAGTAGGCAGTGTTCTGATTCCCATGCTCTGATTTCTGAAAATTAAGGAGCAAGTAGGAGAGGAGAGGCCAGTAAAGGAGACTGAGGGGGGCCGGGAGGAGAGGAAGTAGGCCAAGGCAGTGTCTCGGAAGATGCTGCTCTGTGGAAATTCATTGAATAGAGGGGTGTGGTATTATCACCCTGCTAGACATGAATCCACATCTCCAAAACAATTTAAAATGCATAACTAATCACAGACCAATACTACTGCTCCCTCTTGCTGTGGGGACTGGATTGGGAAGACTGCAGCCCTCTGCAATCCTACCCTAGACTTTCTGTAAAAGCTCCTCCGTGAAAATCTCTTCAAAAGAAAAAGCAACAGAATGTGGCCTTCGAATTCCTAGAAGATGGGTATTTTTCTGATTATTCAGCATCTGGGTTTAGTTTATTCTCTCAATAAATATTGACTGAGTGCTCACTCTGTGCTAGGCACTGAGAAAGTGCAATGACTAAGGTGTTAAGAGATCCAATTGCCATGGTGTGTGCAATCTAGCAGGAGGAGATGGGCAGTAGTAAACAAGGATAGTGTGTGTGTGTGTGTGTGTGTGTGTGTGATAAGTGCTAAGAACAAACTAAAGCTGCAAAGGAAGTGGCGAGGCTAGGGTGCTTCTATTCTGGATACATTGGTTAGGGGTAGACTGAGCCTTAACAGAGGAATGATGTTTAAGCAGAAAGCACTGCCCTAGACGTAGCCTAACCACTCCCTCCCAACCCACTAGTGGGTGGAACGTGGGAAGCATGCACTTTGTGACTGCAAACATCAACCCAACCAAGAATCCTGTCATCCTGTATCACAGTGATATATAGTTTAGATAATAACTGTTAAAATCAAGTCCTTGATCATAACTGTAAGACAATTTTTACGGGTGACTTTAAAGTGAAACAACTTCCATTATTCCAAACTCCAGAAAGGCAAGCAGTCCTTTGTAATGACTAAAATGACTAACTGGTATTCCCTCCTTTTTTAAAAACTGGAGACGTGTTCTCCTGCTGAGACCATGTATCATATCCAGTTTCGCATAAAAATGAATTTTTGCTGCTAAGTTTGAAAACTGCCTGAAAATAGCAATTAATATTGGAAAAGCTGACAGAACCTTAAGTGTAGTGGCATGATTGGTGTTGCTGTAATTACGGACCTGAGTGTGTACATGTCTGTGTAAACACAGTGTGAAAACACACTTGATGTCCAGGACAGTGTATCAATGTATTCTCTTGCAGGTATGGGGTGGGGTAAGGATTTTTTTAACATGGTTGAGTGGTATGAATTTTTCCAATCTTATGTCTGAATAGACTTGCCTTTCAAATTATTTTTACGTTCACCACTTCATCTGAGCCTCACAACTTGCTGGGGCGTGGGGGCAGGTAGCTTAACGATGGATGAGCAAACTCAGCAGGTCAGCTAGGAGGGCCTCAGGTTCTTGTGTGCAGGATGAAGAAAATGGACTCTCATCTCCAAAGTCCCTTCTAGCTGACAGGTGGGATGATTTTGTTTCTGTTGTCCTGAGATGCCACAGCTGTTTGATGGTGGAGACAGGATCCTTTCTACTCCAAGTTCCTACTGTGTTCTTCTAACCCTCCACTGGTTGTTTAATCATCTGCAAAATGCAATGTCTACCGAATGAGACTGTGGAGAAGCTGCTGACGGGATAAAAGACAGGGTTTGGGAAGCACCCAGCACAGTGGTAGCTGTCATCATCATTGCCATTGGTGTGGCTAATAAGGAAAGAATGGAGTAGAGGAAAAGAGTACCTTGGAGTTGGGGGGATGAGCTTCTAATCATGTCTGTGTTGTGCTCCCTTGGCCAGTTATCCACCTTTCTGAGCATACTGTAAAATAGACCTAAGAACACCTGTAAGAAGGCAGGGTAGAGACAAAGGAGATGATGTCTATATAGATGACAAGCCCATTGTCTGGCACATTCATACCCTCAACAAATGTCTTGTGGGTATAAGTGATAAACCATCTTTCATAACTGGAATAAGCTAGGCATGGTGACCCATGCCTACAACTCAGCACTCAGAAGGTAGAAGCAGGAGGACTGCAAGTTCCAGGCTAGCCTGGACTACATAATAAGACCCTGCCTCAAACAAACAAACAAAAAAGAAACTGAAATGTATTTCTTGATCCCCTCGGGGGCTGAAGTGGCATTTCATAGATGAGAAGAATATACATAGAATTCACAGACGCAAGCAATTACTTTTTTAATGGAACATTCTGTATATATGTGGGGGTGGAGGGAAATCCCATGCATCCAGTAGTTAGCAAAGGGGCATTGTGAAGTCTCCTGTCACACGGCCTTCTGAAATCTAGTGTCTACTGACTCAGGTCTTCCATTCTCCTCATGGCAACAATCTTTTCAGATTGTGTGGCTGTTTAGAAACACTTGGCTGGCCTGCATGGTACCACTTTCTTTTGACTGCTTTGAGGACCAGTCTGAGGGGTTCACTGAAGATAGAAACCAAAATCTGGAACTTTGTCTGAGACCAGGGGAATTACAGAAAAGGCTGGGATGTAGGAACTCTTCAGCATGGATTGTGGTTGTTCATCTCTGTTGAGGGTGGCTTGGCACTGACTCTTCAGGGCTTTAGAAACTAACATGGATAGGCATCAGTTGCCTTATGGTTTGGAGCTGTGTTTGGACAGGGTCAGCAGGTGTGAAGGAGTCACAGGTAAGGAAAACCACCCCAGATTCTCATATCCATGGTTTGAAACCATTACACCTGATATAGTATATATTCAGAACAATTTCCAATTAAGTTTTATTACTATATATGCATTATTTGAGGATAAAATATAGCATGGCCTTTTTGACATGAAATATACTTTTATTTGATTAATTATTTATCCTTGAAATTTTCTTTGCTGTGAATGCCCACCCTGCCTAGATGTCTCCATATCAGTTAAATTTTTGTACCTGAGAGAAGAGCACAAATGCTTGGCCCGTATCTGCTGTGTTTAGTTGCCTTCCTTTAAATGTGTGAATTTCTTTTTTTAATGTTCTAGGGGAAAGCCATGGTGTTTGCCCCACGCCGAGGGAATACTTTAAACCAGTTCTGCAATCTAGCTGAAATGGCTGGTTTCTCTATCCAAAGACATGAAAATTATGATGAGCACATTTCAAACTTCCACTCCAAGGTTAGTTTTCTGCTTGTGATAGATAACACTTTAATCCGCATTGCATTTTGAAGAGATCATAGTCTTTTTGGCAGGTAACCTACATATTTGATTAAAGTGCTCCTTAGGTGTGTTGCTTCTGAGCAGCTATTTCTATCTGATTATTTTGTGTAGTAAAGCCATCCTTTATCTTTGCATGGCTAGGAGGATTTTACAGAAACCATTCCTGTTTACTCCTTTCTCTAAAACAAACTAATCTTTTTCATTCATAATGGACTAATTTGCAAGATGCAAGAGGAGGTGGCATAGAATGAATGAAAAACATGCATTTGTACTGTAATGAAAAACCTTCGGCTTTTAAGTAGGTTAAATGCTTAGCAGCAGTGAAATAAATAGAAGGTGAGTGTCTAATTGTATCATGTTGGACTGTAAATCTTTATCTCTGCTTTCTTCATGGCTGGGTCAGTTGACAGTTTGAGACTGTTAAATCTCGTACAGAATTTCACAGTTGCGGGGTTATATGTCAGATTGAGGCACTACAAGATTTAGGTCAAAAGCACTTATCTGAGAGTGATTTCTAAGCCTGCTTACATAAAGCAAGGTTATCAGCCTTTTTATTATTTATGGGAATAGGG